CGCCCCCCACCCAGTACAGCTGCCGGCCTGCTGAAAGCTGGGGGCAGCTGTAGCCTCCTGGGCAGACAGCCCTGCCCCACCAGTCCTAAACTAAAGGGACCGTCTTGGTTTCTGATCCGAATTGGCCCTTTGAGTAAATCCCAGGTCTGTTCAGATGGCAACCATTTTCCCCCCTTCCCAACCTTCTGGCCAGCCTTGTGGATCCAGCTGGGAAACCCAGAACCAAAGAACTCTCTCTTTCTGGATAACAGTCTCTGACCCCTTCCTATAACCATCTGTTGCTTTACTGAGACTCAGATTTCTGGGAATTCTTTTTTTCCTTAAGCCTTCCTCCCACCCCAGCCTCAGTCTGCCAAGCTGTGTCACGGGGTATTCAAAACAAAATTTCATGGGAACAAGTGTTGGCAAGAATGTGAAGAAATTGGAACCCTTATGCACTGCTGTGAGAATGTAAAACGGTACAGCCACTGTGGAAAAGAGAGTAGTGGCTCCTCAAAAGATTAAACATGGAATTACCATATGATCCAGCAATTCCACTTCTGGGTATATACACAAAAGAATTAAAGCAGAGGCTCAAACAGGTATTTGTACACCCACGTTCATAACAGCATTATTCACGATAGCCAAAAGTTGGAAACAACCCAAGTGTCCATTGACAGATGAATGGATAAACAAAATGTTATGCATATATTATATACATACATATATATTTCAGCCCTTAAAAGGGAATGAAATTCTGACACATGCTACAATATGAATCAACCTTGAAAATGTTATGCTAAATGAAATAAGCCAGACACAAAAGGACATATATTATATGATTCCACTTATACAACGTACCTAGTATAGTCAGGTTCATAGAGACAGAAAGTAGAATGGTGGTTGACAGGGCTGGGGGGAGGAGGGAATGGAAATTATTGCCTAATGGGTACAGATTTTCCGTCAGGGATAATGAAAAACTTCTAGAGGCAGATGGTGGTGCTGGTTGCACAGCAATGTGAATGCACTCAATGCCATTGAATGGTACACTTGGAAATGGTTAAAATTGTAAAGTTTACGGAATGTGCATTTTACCACAATTTTTTAAGTGTAAAAAACAACAAAAAGGGTGGACAGGGGCCAGGCCCAAGTAGGGATGACTGTCAGCCACCAGTTCTTGATGGGGAGTCTTGTTCGTCCTTTGCTCTCCTGGTTGGGGCACCCCTTTCCCTCCAGGACTTCCTGCAGGAGGGCAGAGAAGAATCCAGGCTGTGGAGTCAAAGACGCATTTAAATTCCACCTTCCCAGGCGGTGTAATCCTGGGAAGTCGCTTACCCTCTCTGTAAAATGGGGAAAATAAACTCTACCTAGCAGGTAATTATGAGAACCAACTTAGTTAAAACATCTCAGCCCAGGGCCTGGCAGTCACGGGTGTGTCCTCCCAAGTTCAGTCAAGTGTCAGGGTTGATAGCTTTTGCTTCTCAACTCGCTTCTCTGAAGTATACAAAAAGTAGCTCTGTGCGTGTGTGTGTGTGTGTGTGTGTGTGCGTGTGTGTGTGCGCGCGCGTGTGCACGCATGTGTCATTCCCACCAGCTTCAATTTCCCCATGTGGAAATGGGTGCCATCTTTTGCAGGGCTGTTGTGAGCAAGTGAACTTGACATACACCCAGAACCACCTTTTCGGTAACGCCAAAAGCAAAAGTATTTAGATTCCTTCTTCAGCTGACCAAGACCTCGCATGCGTGGAACCCGCACACTCTCCCTTTACTGGGCTACAGTTTGACATTCAGTACAGCCAAGAGTTACTGAGTGCCTACTACGTGCCAGGTTCTGTTCTAAGACCCGAGGAAACCAAGAGTTTATAGAGCACTAGATCACTTAGCACTAGGAAACTGTCACCTTCTGCTGTGCCACCTGTGCCACAACACACAAGATTTGGTGGCACAAGTGGGAACAGGTGTATCATCCAAGACACAGGAACAAGCCAAAGGAGACTGGCCCTAGTGGGCCACTCCCAGGGACATTCCTTTCACCCTGAGCAGCTGAGCTGTAACTATTGGATGGACAGAAGAGTGGGTTCTCGATATCTGTGGTTTCCATTTTGCCGTGTAGCCCCTCACCTCTTCCTCAGGCCAGTGCCAGATACCAGCTCTCTGACCAGCATAGACACCATCACAACTGGTCTCCTTCTTACACTTAGGGATGTGTCAGGAAACAGTGGGACATGTCTGCTAAATGAGGGTCTACTTTACACTCTAGGGAGCACATAGTAGTAGTGCCCTATGCTGTCAACTGCTGGCATCACACCTTGGAAGTCAGCTCCCGTTCCAGATTCCACTTTCCTAAAGGGCATATGAGGTATAGAGGACAGGCCTCTCAGTGCTGGGATGCTGGCCACTAATGGTCCTGGAGGTGATTTTAGGTCAAAGGTGTATTGTTGAGTTTTCACGGTATTGATGTATAGATAGACAGACAGGCGTATAGTTCGAAGGGCATTTTACATAAAAACCTGGTTTGCTGGTTTCTTCTTGAAAAATCTGAGAATCTAGCAACAAAAGGCCCGCACTCTCACATGTCAAGAATCAGCTGGAACTGAGGGGGAACCTCTTCCCTAGGCAGAGCTTACACTCTAACCTATTCTCTGAAAAAGATCACTTTGGAGGATGTCTCTGCACTTATAAAAAGACCTCTTTCCTCCTCTTTTGCAAAATGAGAATGCAGGGTCATTTTAACCAGGACCCACTCTCTGAGTCTTGAAACAAACACTAGGTGGGGAGGGCTGAGATAGACTGCACAAATTGCGACAAAATAGTAAACTGTTTGTGTCCTTGATGTACAAAGACTAGTTAAGTCACTAAGAAATTGAAAAACAATCCCATAGAAAAGTGAACAAAAGATTAGGCAAGACACAGAATAAAAAAATATATCAATTGAACATGTGAAACACTCAACCTCACCAAAAGTAACATAACAATTAGAGACATTTTTAAACAATAATATTGGCTAAAATTAAGTAGCGTTTTGGCACTGGTGAAGGATGGGAAAATGAGCAATTTCAAACAGGCACTTTGAAAACAATTTTGCAGCACATATCACAATTTAAAGTCCCCAAAATGTGGTAATCAGGACTACAGTATTTCTCGTACGATTAAAATTAGAATCAATTTAAATGTTCACCAATTGGGGTTTAAGTAAATAGATTATGATATATCCTACAATGAAACACTCTGCAGCCCTTACGAAGAATATATCTTGGTATGTTAATGAAAAAAAGGTGTCCAAGACAAATGTATTGTTAAATTAAAAACAACTGACATAATAATCTGTATTATATGAATCCATTTATGTTTTTTTAAACTATACATATGAGAAATTCAGGGGTGATATTCAAAATATTTAACCACTAGGCTGACACAGGGACTAGCACGCTGGGGCTGGTCTTCACGCTTTAACATATTCTTTTTTTTTTGGCTGTGCGGCATGCAGGATCTTCCCCAGCCAGGGATTGAACTCATGCCCTCTGCATTGGGAGTGTGGAGTTGTAACCACTGGACTGCCAGGGAAGTCACCATCTTCACCCTTTAGTTGCTGCATTATGGGGGTCCTGGCGGGAAAGAGCTAGGGCAGATGAGGCGATAGTGGTGGATACTTGGAAGCCTGTGGCCAAGACTTTTTACAAATAGCGTGGATATATATGCAGAGAAAAGTGAGAGACATACCAAACTTGACAGTGGTGCAAGAGAGACTTTCACCTTTTCCTCTGTACAATCTTACTGTTTGAAATTCTAAGAATGAGTGTCGGATTTGGAAAAAAATTAACACAGGGGAAAACACCAGAATGGCCTATATTCAAAATGTATCATGATGTAAACGTGTGGCTTAGACTCACCGAAGGCCAGAAGGAATCCAGGATCATCTGGAATCCCACGCTTCTTACCACTCACTACTCTTTTTACTTTGCCCAATACCCCCCTCACCACCATGTTTTCTTTCCAGCTTTATTGAGAAATGATTGTCATACATCACTGTATAAGTTTAAGGTATACAGCATGATTTACATATATTGTGAAATGACAGCCACAGTAGCTTCAGCTAGCATCCATATTCTCATATAGATACAGTAAAAAGAAAGAGAAAGAGGAAAAAATATTTCTCCTTGTGATGAGAAATCCTAGGATTTATTCTCTGTTTTTTTTGTTTGGTTGGTTGGTTTTTTTCTTGCAGTACTCAGGCCTCTCACTGTCGTGGCCTCTCCCGTTGTGGAGCACAGGCTCCGGACGCGCAGTCTCAGCGGCCATGGCTCACGGGCCCAGCCGCTCCGCGGCATGTGGGATCTTCCCGGACCGGGACACGAACCCGTGTCCCCTGCATCGGCAGGCAGACTCTCAACCACTGCACCACCAGGGAAGCCCTAGGATTTATTCTCTTAACAACTGTCCTATATATCACACAGCAGTGTTAGTTATAGTCATCATGTTGTACATTACATCTCTAGTGCTTATTTTTTTTAATCATATACGTTTTAGTCTATGCATTTTTTCCCAGCACCACCAAGTTTTGAAATATTCTTTTCTACTTAACAAACTGCATTTATTAAGTAATACATTATTAACTTATTCCCCACATTTTATTAATCAGAAACATTTTGCTGCCATGTAAAACTCCCTACAAATGTCAAATTATCAATATTGCCACAGTGAATTCATATAATCACACCCCAGCATAAAGAAATGTGACATTCAGGTTGACTTATTTGGTCTCATCATAAAACAGTTCATATATTTTTGAAATATTGAAAATGTTTCTAATTAAACCCTTCCAAACCCTAGGGACTGGGAATGTTAGTTGCAGGACCATTTGTCATGCATTCTCCAGATGTGGAAATTAGATCCAGCGTGTGTGACCCTGCTCCTCCCTCAGAGGGCTAGCCCTAGGAAGCCTCACCTGTGGAGAGACTCAGGTGAGCTGAAACCCAGCAGGGGTTCTGGGGACACAGGTCAGAGGGCAGCCATGGGGAGTAGCAGCAGGCCTCAAAGTCTCACTCTGGGGTCAGGCTGGACCTAAGAATCCAGAGCAAGTAGCTGGGAATAAATAAAGCTGGGGCAGGAGACATGACTTGCAGGTAGTTTTTAATGAGACAGTCAGAACAGTGATTCTCAAAGGGGGAAATATCAGAATGAAAGGGGATGGGTGGATGTCATTTGAAAAAGCATCATAATTTTATATATGGAGAAAAATATAAACTTATGTTTCCGTTAAAGCAGCTACCAAAAAGAAAGTTCTAGAAAATCTTGGTTGATGAGTATCTGTAGAAGAAATATTAATTCTCATACCTCCTAGAAAGAGGAGGTAAACTTTTATGTGACTGTAGAAGGGCCAGCAGTTTTTAAAATTTGAATTTGTAATTTGCTTTTATAAGCCAACTGGGGTAGAGTAGGGAATAGCAGACACCCTGGGGAGCAGAGGACACTATCCCAGGCGGGATGTGGCCAGTTATTAAGATGTAAGTACTAGGGACCTGCAATGGACTGAATGTTTGTGTCCCCCCCCAAATTCAGATGTTGAAGTCCTACCCCCAAAGTGATGATATTAGGAAGTGGGGCCTTTAGGAGGTTTAGGACGTGAGGGTGGAACCCTCATGAATGGGATTAGTTCCCCTATAAAAGCGACCCCAGAGAGCTTTCTTGCCGCTTTCCACCATATGAGGATTCAACAAGAAGTGTGCCATCTGCCACTCAGAAGTGGATCCTCACTAGAACCCAACCATGCTGCCAACCTGATCTTGGACTTCCAGCCTCCAGAACTGTGACAAATAAATTATTGTTGTTTATAAACCACCTGGTGAATAGTACTTTGTTATTGCAGCCCAAGCTGATTTAGACAGAACCTTGTCTGCTTGATCCAGCAGCATCTAAATCAGTGCTTGGCACACGGAAGGGACTCAATTAATATTACTGACTGAATGTTTTAATGAGTATCAAATTCAGGACTAGAAATCAAGTCTCTTTTTTCCCCAGCCAGTTCTCTAACAGATCCTGTAATTAACCTTACAAAAGTAAATATAACACGTAGCAAAACCATTAGCTGCCTATCCTAACACCCATTTTCTCTTCCTTCTTGAATGTCCCAGCCTCTCCTGCAGCTGCATTCTGGTCAATGAGATGTAAGAGGAAGTGTTATATGGTACTCGCAGGAAGTCTTCATAAAATAAGGGAAGTGCACCTTTCCTCTTTCCTTCGTCCTGCTGCCTGAAATGCAGAAATGATGGGCTGGAGATCAAGCTGCCATATGGACCATGGGCAGGATGGCAAACAGAAAGATGGAAGAAGCCTAGGTCCCTGATGACTGCAGTGACCATACCCGCCCTGATCTGCCTGCTTTCAGACTACTTTTACGTGAGAGAGAAATGAACTTCTATACTTCTACGTCAACGGTCTTCTTTGGGATTTTTCTATTATACTCACAGAAAGCCCACTCTTACTGACATGCGCTACCTGCACGTCCCCACCCCTGCCAGCAGGAGGCGCTGATCCCGCCTCTATGACACGGAGCACGTGAGAGTTTCATCCTCGCTCAGCTACCAGGAGCTCCACCTCCTCCGGCACCTGTAGGACTTTGGCTTCCGGACAGGGACGGCAACGTAGCTGTCAGTGCTCAGTCTCCTTAGAACCCGCTGGGGTTTCAGCTTGAGGACAACACTGGGCTGCATCCATGAGGACAGGAGCACAGTTTTCTCAGGACCGTCCCAGGGAGGTCCCACTGGGAGAGAACGGTGAGGAAAAAAGTGAAGAGAAGTGAGGAAAAGTGGGGAGAAACTTCCTGTGTACGACTGACTGCTGGGGGCTGGGCGGATCCCTCTTCAGAGGACCCAGGAGAGAAAGGTCTTGATGTAGAAAACTGTGGGGTTTTAGTCCCTGTTGTGTGCAGTGTAGACTGTGTCCAGTGTGGTTCTTTGGTGTGTGGTGTCCAGCTTTCCTGGTGCTGTTTATTGAGGGGACTGCCCTTTCCCTGTTGTATGTTCTTGGCCCTTTTGTCGTAAATAAACTGATCACACCCGTGTAGATTTATTTCTGAGCTCTCTGTTCTGTTCATCTGGTCCGTGTGTCTGTTTTTGTGCCAGGACCACACAACTGTTTTGGTTACTGTAGCTTTGTAATATTGTTTGAGGTCAGGGAGCGAGATGCCACCAGCCTGTTCTCCTTTCTGAGAATCGCTTTGTCTATTCCTGGTCCTTTGTTGTTCCACACAAATATTAGGATCCTTTGCTCTATTTCTGAGAAATATGCCATTGGAATTTTGGTAGGGATTGCTTTCAGTGTGTACATTGCTCTGGGTAGAATGGACATTTTAACAATATTCATCCTTCCAACCCATGAGCATGTGATATCTTTCTATTTCCTTGTATCTTCTTCAATTTCTTCATCAATGTCCTAAAGTTTTCAATGTGCAGGCCTTTCACATCCTTGGTTAAACTTATTCCTAGGTGTTTTGTTCTTTTTGATGCAGATGTCATTCGGATTGTTTTCTTTTTCTTTTTGATGGTTCATTATTAGTGGTTAGAAATGCAGCTGTTTTTTGCGTATTGACTGTCACTTTACTGAATTCCTTTACTAGTTCTAATAGTTTTTTGGTGGAATGATGTGGAAAATTGTAACTGTAACTGATTTGTGGGTGAGCGTCCGCACACCTAGGGGAAGTGGAGATCAGGTGAAAGCCTGGCACTCCAGGAAGTGGCCAGTTCCACGATGTAGCACCAACGACCCAACATTGGCTCTATTTGTTACCTGGGCCCCGCTCCCCAGTCACCGAGCTCTCTGGACCTTGAAGCAGGTCCCTATAAGACTTGGGACAGTGCTTACGGTAGAGATTTTCCACCAGCGTGTTGCTTCCTCTGACCACAGCCCTCCCTTCCTGGTTCATGTAGTTCCACAGATGCAGTGCGTAGGAGTCGTTGAAGCTCGGCTCTGTGTCCCAGGCTTCATAGTAGCGCCTCCATGCTACATAGGAGATGGGATAAAATCTTTGGGGGTGTAAGAAGGAGAAATTTAAACACTTGAGGTCGCTCACCTCCTGGAAGTCTCTGAGTTTGCACCATACTCTCAAAATCCTTGTCATCAATTCGGGACCCTGGTGGCCCCAAATATCTGAATTGTAATTTTCCACAAAGTTTTCCATGCACTGCCACAGGAAAGGGTGGTGGGGGAGGAATCCAAACACCCCATTACTGGAGAACTGAGATGTCTGCGCAGCCAGAAAGTTGTCCTCGGGGATGGGTCTGATGGAGATGACATCAGTATCCATGTAGACACCGCCGTACTTCCAGATGAAGGCCAGGCGGGATGCATCTGAACTGACGTGGAGCCAGTATCTCTCTGCGCTGCTGTTGATCTGCAGGAACAGGTGCAAATCAGCCCCCAGGCAGGGGAAGAGGGTGGGGTGTCACAGCAGGAGGCCAGGCACAGGGTAGCTGAGCAGGAAGCAAGCCAACTTCCCAAAACTCTATTTGCCAAAAGCCCAATATTACAAATGTACCAAAATTACCTCCACCCAAAAAAGTTGCCTTTAAGTGAAAAGTGTACAGCAATCAGTATCCATGGGAAGGTTTTAGCAGCTTTTAAAGATTTCGTGAAATTGTTTTTTGAAAAAAGCAGTAGAAAGATGAAACCCAGAAGGGATTTCACAATGAACCCTATGAGTCACTTTCAGCAGGATGGAAATTAACCACAAATATAAAACTGTGAAGGAAGAATTTTTTGGTAAGTCCTAAAAGTGCTGAGAACTGATAAAGAAAAAAAAATAAATATGAAAATATAAGATAGATTAATAGCTATGCTCTTTGAGAAATTGATAAAAGAATCTTAAAATGCATCCATGCCTTCATCCACTAATTAATTCCTTTAATAGTATTCATTGAAGGCCTACTTGCTATTCGCCAAGCTCTAAGCTGCTAAGGATACAGCAGTGAACAAACAGATAAAAATCTTTACTGGCAGGAGATAGACAACAAACAAATAAATATATCATATGTTGGGTGTTCATAAGGAATATGAAGGAAAAAAAGTCAGGCGAGGGGGCTATGAAGGGGGCAGGATACAGCACTATCTTATCTTGTGTTCGAGCAGAACATTGGATGAAGTGGGTGGATGAACCATGCTGCTATCTCCGAGAAGAGGGCTCTAGGTAGAGGAAACAGCAAGTGCAAGGGCCCTGGGGCAGGAGCACGCTCACTATGTACAGGAACTGGAAAACAGCAGTGCAGAGTAGTGAAGGGAGAAGGGTAGGAAACCAGATCAGAGCGGGGACAGGGGCGGAAGTGAGGGAGGATCCCGTAGGCTGGGGTAAAGACTGAAATGATTTGGAAGGTTTGAAAGAAAGGAGTGGTGTGATCTGAATTAGTCTAAAAGGGGTCACACTGGGTGCAGTGTAGAAAATAGATGGGGGCAGGGGGCAAGGGCAGAAGCAAAGAGGCAAGTTAGGAAGCTGTTGAAACAATCCAGGCAGGAGATGATGGTGGTTTAGACCAGGGTGACGATAAAGGAGATGAGAGAAGTGGTCACATTCTGGGCACACGGTAAAGATAAAGCCGGTCAGGATGTGCTGCTGGATTGGATATGGAGCCGGAGACAGAGGAGTCAAGGATAACTGAAAAGGCTGAAATGTGAACAAAACAGAAATTGACTTTGAAACGAATAAAAATAAACCATTATAAATGCCAGTGTTCCCAAATGGAATGCTAAAATTTTGAATACAGAAAACACAGTAGATTTTTCTGAATTTAAATATGTTGATTAAAAGATTAAACAATGACCCTTGGCTTTTGACAAAAGAAACATTTTTTAAATTCTACTATAAAGCCAAACGAAAGCAAGTCCGCTAAGACTTTGAAGAAATCTTCACCTGAGCTATTAACGTCGTTATGTTGTATACAATTGCTGAAAACCTCATGAATAATAAAAAAATAGCTAAAATTTATCAATAACTGTGGTGGTGGGATGAATTGGGAGATTGGGATTGACATGTATACACTAATATGTATAAAATGGATAACTAATAAGAACCTGCTGTATAAAAAAATAAATATAATTCAAAAATTCAAAAAAAATTTATCAATAACTGTTCTGATCTCTTATAATCTACACAAATCCTCAGAAATAGGTACTATTATTAGTCCTATTTTTCAAGTGAAAAATTAATAGGAAAGACCAAGAAGTTCAGTCATTTGTGCAAGGTAAGAGAGGCAGAGGTTAGATTTTAACCCAGGCAGTCTGACTCCAGAGAGACCCACTTACTTTCAGTAAAAATAAGTAAAGTTGATTCTTTGGCAAATTGGCGATTATTAGTGAACAGATCCAGATATCAAAAGCCGCACAGAAGGAAGGAAGCCTACCTTGATGTGGGCATTGGACTAACATCAATGTAAAACACAAGGCTCCCCCAGAGGTGAGCACCAGAAAGGGGATTAGGATTCTGTTTGCTCATTCCCTCCCCACCCCCTCAGTACTCATCCCTGGGCATCTTCAAGGGCTACTACAGTTGCCCAAATCAGTGCAGCAAATCCAGTGGTCACCAGCAAGTGATGGCACGCTAGGCCATCCTAACAGCTGGCCGCCAGCTATCCTATTGTAGCCTAACTGGAGCAGAAGATACCACAGCCCGACTCCCCCAAGGTGCAAGTGTGTCCCCCACCCAGGACAGCCCACCCAGTCCCCAGGTGAATGAGAGAGGGTGGGACAGGAGTTTTCTCTTTTTTTACACAAATACTGTAGTAGGCTGAATAACAGCCACTCAGTGGTCCTAATTCCTGAAACCTGTAAATATTACCTCCTATAGGAAAAAGATCTTTGCCAATGTGATTAAATTAAGGATCTTGGGACTTCCCTGGAGGCCCGTGCTTCCACCACAGGGGGCGTGGGTTCGATCCCTGGTCGGGGAAGTAAGATCCCACATGCCACACGGTGTGGCCAAAAAAAAAAAAGAAATTAAGGATCTTGAGCTGAGGTTATCCTGGATCATCATGGGCCCTAAATGCCACCGCAAGTGTCCTTTAAAGGGAAAGGTAGAGGGAGTTTCATACAAAATTCCTAAGAGCTCCAGGAGTTTCTTGATCATATCTCAATGTAACCCAATCTCATACAGCAGCACCCACCTGATCTTTCATGAATTTTCTATTTACATCATTTTCCAGTTAAATATTGCCTTATTTCCCCCCTTAGGTGCAAAAAAGTTTAACATAGATGGGTTTAAAGTTGTCAGTGAAAAATGAATGGTCTATACACCTAGAAAAGATGTAGAAACTCATTCAGTTAAGAATAGTCTCAAGAAATCCTAAGAAATAAGGTGAAAGCAAAAGGCAGCAGGGTAAAGATAAGCCTAAATCAAGCCTCTCCTGTTTCCTTGAATCAGGACTCAACACCGTAGAATGAAGACCAGGCAAGAGTCAAAAGATCTGGGTTCTAGCCTATCTCTGACAATCTAGCCTTACCCTCAGTCTACCCATCTATAAAATGGCTAGATTGGACCCATTTTCTATGGTCCTTCCCAACACCGACATTCTGAGATGCTCTGAACACTTACTTGAGTGTACCACGAAAACAACGGTGTGTCTTCAAACAGGCTTTTCATATCCAAAGGGAAGAGGAAAACATTGTCTATTGCCGAGAGGAGGGAAAGGGCTGGGGAAGTGGAGTTTGGGGGCAGCTGCATGGAATTGTTGAGCCCTTTCATAAGTAACAGCACAGGCTGCTCAGCGTAGACCTTGGCCGCAGACTCCACAGCACAGGAGATCAGCGGGGATAGCTCCATTCTCTCTGAGGTCTCTAGGAACACGATGCTGCGCCCACGGCCCAGGAGGGCTTCCAGCCCCTGCTGGGACTTGTAGGGAGGCAGGTGGGGGAAGAGGCAGCTGGACTTCAGGGTGAACTTGTAGAGGAAGCCACAGGCAAGCAGCAGAATGACCGACAGGGAGAGCTGAAGCTTCATAAGCATGTCCACCCCTCTCTCCTGTCCTGCTCCCTAAAATCAACACTATGAATTAAAAATGATGGTCACGAAACCTGAGAAAGATAGCACACAAGAAGACGATACCTGAATATCACTTTCAAGCTTAGATTTTTTAATTGAAATATAGTTGATTTATAATATGAGATTACTTTCAGGTGTATAGCATAGTGATTCAGTATTTTTACAGATTATATTTCATTAAAAATTCTTACAAAATAATGGCTATAATTCCCTGGCTAAACAATATATCCTTGTTGCTTGTCAATTTTATACCTAGTATAGTTCATATTTCTTAATCCTCTACCCCTGTTTGCCCCCTGGCCCCTTCCCTCTCCCCTTTGGTCACCACTAGTTTGTTTTCTCTACCTTTGAGTCTGTTTTGGTGTTGTTCATTTGTATTATTTTTTACATTCCGCATGTAAGTGATATCATACAGTATTTATCTTTCTCTGTCTGACTTATTTTAGTAAGTATAATATTCTCTAGGTCCATCCACATTGCTGCAAATGGCAGAATTTCATTATTTTCATGGCTGAGTAATAATTCCATTGTATATACATATGTATATACCGCATCTTCTTTATCCATTCATCTTTTGATGGACACTTGGCTTGCTTCCGTATCTTGCCTGTTGTAAATAGTGCTGCTATGTACATTGGGGTGCATGTATCTTTTCAAATTAGTGTTTTTGTTTTCTTTGGTTATATACCAAGGAGTGGAATTGCTGGATCATATGGTACTTCTGTTATATTTTTAGTTTTTTCAGGAACCTCCATACTGTTTTCCATAGTGGCTGCACCAATTTACATTCCCACCAACAGTGTATGAGGGTTCCCTATTCTCTACCTCCTCGCCAACATTTGTTATTTGTAGACTTTTTGATGCTAGCCATTCTGACAGATGAAAGGTGATATGTCATTGTGGTTTTGATTTGCATTTCTCTAATAATTATAAGTTTTGATTTTTTAAATTCTAAATAAAATATGATCAAATCAAATCCAGCAATGTTAAAAAGAAAGGTGCATTGATTAGGTTTTATTTGAGGAATGTAAGGATGATTTGTAATAGGAAAATAATGAATTAATAGGAAAACTATTAATGAAATGCATTATTTCCACAGATTAAAGAAGAAAAGCTGTATGATCATTTTGGCTCAGTAGATGCTAACAACAGCATGCTAAAATTTGACATCCATTCATGCTTTTTAAAAAGCACAAGGAAACTTTCTTAAGCTGACAATGTCTACCAGAACATATAGCAATGATCATCTTTAATGTGAAGCATTTGAAATATCCCCATTAAGACCAGGAATATGACGTGGATGTCCATTATCACTGTTAACTTTCACCGTCATTCTGCTAAGTCTAACCAATGCAGTGAAACAAGAGAAAAGAGTTTCTACTATGAATATTAGGAAAAGACAAAAATATCACTAGTTGTAGAAAATATGATTGCCTACCTAGAAAATCCAAGATAACTTACCAAAAAACTAATAGAACTAAGAAGAAGCAAACTGAAGGTTAAATAACTTGCCAAGATCACACAGTTAGCGGAGCCATGACTTTAACTAGGGTCTGCCTGTCCCCAAAGCTCAGGCTCTGAGCAGTTACCTGCAGTACCACCCTCTCCTTCACCATAAGCTCTAACTCCGGCCAACTCCAGGACAGCAGAGATCTCCATTCATCAGTAGTCTATTTTTTGCTTGACATGTAACTCTTTCAGAAAATACAAATCCAGTAAATCAGAGCTTACCTTCTAGCCAGAAACATGTAGTTAGCCAATAGCTGCTGTCTTAGCAATGATGACAAGTTTTTTCCTGCTACACTTTCTGATAAATCATCACCTAACCTTCAATTCAACAGTGCTGAAGGAAGTAAATGATTGGCAGAAGATTATGCCAAACACAGGAAGTTCCCAGGAAGCTCCTCCCTTTGCTAAGTTGCCCTAAACACAGAGGCTTGCATATTGTAAGGGGTTCACATGATTTTTCAGGTGACCTACACACTAATCCTGCTGGTTTGTGGGCCTATCAGGAGGGTTACAAGGCAACAATTCCACCTGAAGAAAACTGTATAGTAGCACAATCCTGGCGCCAACAAAGTGTGCACCTAAACAGTTTGGCCTCAGTCAAAATCATGGGCAGAGACTTGGGGAAGTTCCTTCACCAGGCAACCCTGTAACTTGGTCCAAGCTTTGCAAACAGAAGATTTTGTTGAATGAAAAGAAAATCCATCTCCACAAATAAGTAGGTAATGTAGAAACCCCAGCAGTCCAAGGGCCTGGTGATCTGGAACGAGAATTGATTCCCCGATTTCAGTTTCGGTGGCTTCCCTTTGCCGAGAAGTCCCCCCTGTGGGATGTGAGCTTCCTCCCCGTCTCACGAGGTCGGCGTCACCACACTCCACTGATGTGGTAATCCCCACATTTCTCAAGATAGTGTGACTCTCCTGTGGTCTGGTCCCTATCACCCCTGACAGGCACGCTTAGTAATCCTCTTGCGAGCCACCCTCTGCTCTGTCTTCATCCAGAGCCTTCTCTCAGCCGTGAACAGGTATCCACAGAATGCTCTGGTGTGAACAGGGAGGTTCCCTTCAAAGCAGACTTTGGATCCTGATATAGCAGCTCCTACATCAAGGGAAGTAAAGCTGTCCCACTTGTCAGTGGCTTCTCATTTTCTATGTGCCTGAGGTTCTCCAGGAACAGCTCTTTGGGTCTCCACACACTCCTGTTCCTTTTGGAGCTGAATTTCTTCCTGGACCTTGTCATTTCTAGGGTCAGGGTACCTTGGCATCTTTGCAAAAGTTCCCTGGCACTGGATAGATTAGTCGTTCTTTCCTTATGGAGGGGCAGAGGAAGCAGAGCTCCTGGGCCGCACTCTGGGGTAACCAGAGGACTCCATTTGTGGGAGTGATACGTTCCTAGTGCCCACATTTCAGGTGGGTCACAGATCCTGGTGCCTTCTAGCTGCTTGCAAGATAGCCAACACCATCAAACAAGTGGTCGAGGCAGAAAGCAGGGAAGTAGTTGGTGATCTTTGTCACAGGGATGAAAGTGAGCATTAGCGATGCAGTGAAATACTAAACACAAAAAGTAGGACCTGTCTGACCAAGAACCAAGTAGAGGGTATGATGAAAAGAGCAATGAGCTTGGAGTCATGCCTCTACGCACTGTAACCAAGAGTACCAGAGCAAGTCCTGAAACTGCCCAGAGCCTCAGCTCCTCTGTACAGTGCTGACCTCAGGCTCATTGTGAGGATGAAAGGGCTCTATAAGCCAAAGAAGCAACTCCCACTTTCCACCAAGGATAAAAATAGAATACTATTACTGTAGATGGCCTGGACTCCCTGATGACAAACATTAAGTCATTGTTGCTTTCAGATGAATGAAGTCTGTTTCCCAGTGAATAGCTGAGAAGGAAATCCTCAGCCCCGTGTGAGAATTGTTGAGATGTGTGCAGAAGTCGGCAGTCAGCCTCTGGTGCCTGGGATCTTTCTGGGTCACAGCCTGATGTCCTTGCTGACTCTTTCCAAGGAGGCCTCCTGTCATCTGAGGCACTCTACCAGGAACGTCCCAGGGACCCTGGATCCTTTCAGCCTTCCCTCTCGTGTTCAGAGCAGAACCGCCTTCCCTTCCATCTGCTCCCTCTTCTGCCTTCTCTGGCCTGTACCACACTAGCTTTCTGTCTGTGCAGGCAGATGGCACAGCAGCAGCTCCTAACCTGGACTCCACAGATCCCTAGAGGCTCAAGGATACGTTTCAGGAGACCCTGGACCCTGAAGCCATAGATTTCATCAGTACCTTTACCCTGGACGCCATTTATCCACAGCTTCTCCTACATATCCCCTGAGGAAGGTCCCTGCTCTTTGACCCTCTTTTTAATTATGTTTAAAATTCCCACAGATATCGTCACCATACAATCTCAGGCCTTCTTCAACCAGCCAAGCAACCCCTAGGAACCTCAGTACAGATATCTGAGTAGAGATGTACCCAGAGCTATTTACCTTTAAGCAATGGATGGGTCTGAATACACTGGTGACAGTCACACGTGCATCCAGCTATTATCTGCTTTCCTAGAGTTTAGGTCTCCTGTGAGAGAGCTCTTACTTCCTACATTGCAACGTAAGCCAGACTTGGTCAATCCAATGGATTATGGAGCCTTGGTAATTGTTGCTGAGTGATGAGACCTTAGGAAACATGGATTGGTGTAGCCCCAAATAAATGAACAGGATGGGAAAAAATTCTGAATCCATTGTTCTTTCTATTGTATTTTACAATGCTGTTCTTTGGGTGTTTGAAGAAAGTACAGAGAAAAGGCAGTACCGGGAAGAAAATCAAGGAACCAGCAGAGATCTCAGCACTCGTTGGCTCTGCAGATAACCTCTGATAACCTCAGCTGGAAATAGTTCAGTGTTTGGATCTAGACTCCCTCTGCTATAAAGAACACACTGTGTCAAGAAGGAAACATTAAAGGAATTTTTAACAATAAATTTTTGTTGCCTACAATTACACGTGAAATGCCTACCACTCAATTCTGTAGCTTCTTTGAACTCCAATTTACTGCAAGAAGGAAATGTTCAAGTTTACAACCCTTGTCCTGTTTTCTTTGGAGCTGTTGGAACCACAGTTCCGGTTTTTAACATTTGTTAAATAAGTGGGACTGATAAGCTTGTTAAAGCATTCAGCCGTTCACAGGGCAAAACGAATACACAGAGAGTAATAGCTTATCAACGTTGCCAATTCCTTTCACCACTCTTCTGACGCAGAAACAGAGACTGGAGTGTTGGGTTTCCATGACAAGAGAGGAGACCGCTGGACAGAGGCAGTTCACTGCAGACCGAGAAAGAATCCATAGCCTAACCCTTGGGACACATTGAGGAGTGACATTATCAACATCAAATCTGGAAAAAAAAATTTTTTTTTTACTAAAACTCAGTGAATTCATGCCAGAGTAAAATCTCCTTGTCCCGTGGCAATATTTTAAACTATTCTGCATTTCCAAGAAAAAATGCTTCTAGCCTTGTGTTTCTGGAGATAATGGTTTTTGTTCTCCACACAGCCACACTAATCAAACATGCTTCTGCTTACAAAACCTTATATAGCCACCAAGAATATGCTTCTGGGTTTATTCTGGGTATTACTCGATTCACACATGTAATTCCCCTCCCTTTTTAAATTTACTTGCAGATAAAAAAGGGGTTGGGGAGAAGGGCAGGGAGATAAGGGGAAATAATTGTTCTCAGTGAATCAGTTGTGCCTCAGACACCACTCTTCCAGCTTGAAGAACAGGGTCTGCAAGAAGCCCACAGAAGTCAGTGCAACCAGTCTCATGGAAGGCTGTTCAAAGGGGCTTTGCTATTAACTTTTATAAGTCAGTGCTTAATTTCTTCTTCCTGTAAGGAATTGGGAACATCTTGGAGCCACCTACACCAAGTGTCCACATGACACGGGTACCTTTATAAAGACTGAGTGGCCACGAGATTGAGCACTTCCCATTCTGGCTGAAAGAAACTGTTATGGACTGAATGTTTGTGGCCCTACCCCCCAACCCGTACCATCACCAAAATTCCTATGTTAAAGCCCTAACCCCCAATGTGATGGTATTTGGGGGTAGGGCCTTTCAGAAGCCATCAGCCTTAGATGAGATCATGAGGGTGGGATCCTTATAAGAAGAGGAAAACAGATCCCTCTCCCCATGAGCACAAGGAAAGTGCAAGGGAAGACCCAGCAAGAAGGTAACTGTCTACGATCCAGGAAGAGGGTCCTCACCAGGAACCCAATCTGTACCTTTATCTTGGACTTCCCAGCCTCCAGAACTGGGAGGAGTAAGGGTCTGTTGATGAAGCCACCAGTCTGAAGTATTTTGTATAGCAGCCCAAGCTGACTGAGACAGAAACCTCACAGTAAGCTTCTTCTCTCTGATCTCCATCCATATGCTTTCCTGAGAATCTGTTTTTGCAGTTGGAGCTGCTCTTTAAGGTTTGGAGAACTGAGACCAGGCCTCCAGTGGGGAAAGGGCAAATTCATCTGCAACAGAAACCCATAATAGGTGGAAGCATCCTCCTTACCTGAGACCTCTCTGCCTTCTCCTCCTCTTGTCCTTCTGCACACCCCACAATCTGTCCTCTTGTTATACCTTTTCTATTTAAATGGAGATCCTTGGTCTCCCTTATCTCAGTGCCTGACAATCACCATGCACCCACTACTCAAGTCAGAAATCACGGAGTCATTCTTTTTTCTTTAATCCTCTTCTTAATTGAAGTATAATTGATTTACAATATTACATTAGTTTCAGGTGTACAGCATAGCAATTCAATATTTTATAGATTATATTCCATTTAAAGTTATTATAAAATAATAGCTATATTTCCCTCTGCTGTACAATATATCCTTGTTCCTTATCAATGTTATACATAGTAATTTGTACCTCTTAATCCCCTACCCCTATCTTGCCCCTCCTCCCTTCTCTCACCCTCACTGGTAACCACTTCTTTGTTCTCTATATCTGTGAGTCTGTTTCTGTTTTGTTATATACATTCATTTGTTTTATTTTTCAGATTCCACATATAAACAATATCATACAGTATTTGTCTTTCTCTGACTTATTTCACTAGGCATAATATTCTGTAGGTCCATCCACATTGGTGCAAATGCTGCGGAATTTCATTCTTTTTATGGATGAGTAATATTTCATTGTGTGTGTGTGTGTGTGTGTGTGTGTGTGTATCTCACATCTTCTTTATTCATTAATCTGCTGATGGACATAGGTTACTCCCATATGTTAGCTCTTGTAAATAATGCTGCTATGAGCATTGGGATGCATGTATCTTTTTGAGTGTTTTAGTTTTTTTCAGATATATATATCCAGGAGTGAAATTTCTGG